ACTTACGCATATGCTTCTATAATCGTCATAACCCAGGTACTTACTTTAGAATAAAGCATAAACGAATGTAGTTTTACGTTCATCCAACAGTGAACTTTATGATAATGATGACTACTTTTTGTACAAAAGCTTAAGCCCTTTTTAAAAGTTGGTCATGAAATATTAGAAAATGTTCTTTAACAATATATTTCGACTATACCAACCGAATATAACTCCAAAAGTTGCAAAATAATTGTTGAAAAAATTTGTTTCCAAGCCAGCTCTTGTGCAATTTGAAATCTCTCATAATAACTCAAAACTTCATCCAGAGCTGAGAATTAGCCTGGGAATGTGCGAGACTCGAAAGTTTGTGATCAATAAAGTTAAAATAAAGTTTTTTCTATATTTATTTTTAAATTTTTTTGTCTCCATCAAATTTCCAAATGGATTTTATTTTCGGAAAGCTTATTAAATTACCTTTCCAACGATGTATAATGATGTGGTAGTTATATGATAAATAGTGGATGAAATTTTATTTGAGTGGTAGTGTATTTTTGCGGCAAAATTTGTACTTTTCTTACTCTTTTTTGACTTCGACATCCGATATCTCAGAAACTAGAACTGCTAGAAGCTTGAAACTTTCAGATTCTCTTAGTTGAAATGTTTACTATCGACCAAAAATAACGAAATAAGGATTAGTGAAAGTCGATTTTTTGATTTTTGAACGCCTGATATCTGATAGTGAGATGGCGGTAGTGTGTAAAAGTCAAACACAAGGAAATCGACTATGCGCGCCACAGGTGTCGGTACTACCAACTAAGATACTTTTAAATTGACCGTATAATGCTTGTTCGATGAACAGCTTGCGAGTGTTATGTCTGTTTGTCTGTGCTTAAAGGCTGACCAATTTGTTTCGTAAAGCCTGGTAAGCAGCTGAATAGTAATAACTTTTTTACGCTTGTTTTATGTGCTGCGGGGTAGGACACGGAATGCTAAAGAAATTACTTTTCTTTAGCATTTCTTGACCCAGTACGCAGTTCAAAATAAATCGGTAAAGGAAAGATCGATTACAGTGTCGATAAATTTTCTGTTGAAAATTGCCACTCAGCGCTACCGGCACTTAGTATCTAGTGCAAGTTTTGCAAGGCAAGTGCCATCATGTTGTCAAAGAGAGTTTTTTAATTTGGAAAGTTGGCGTTGGTGGTGCTTAAGTCGAATAGGAATCTTCACACTAGTGTTGACAGATATTTTGTTCGAGCCTCAACGTCTGTTCTCTGTGCTATAGGTTGCTATTATGGTGTATTATGGCATATGGCAACGTATAGCCATGAGACTACTACATTTACCCTACCAATTTATTATGTGATTTATTATGAATTTGGGTATGATATTCAAAAACTAAATCTATACTTTTATTTTGTCTTCACATCTTAAAATAATTGCTGAAAATAAAGTGCCTCATTGTAGGCAGCTATCTCGTACCTATAGAGGTGTTGAAATCATTGAAATATTTCGGTTTTCATTTCAGTAAATCCGTACGCCTACATCTAGGCGTACCACATTTCATTCGTATTCGAATCACTTCGCATCATACCGTTCACCATGCATATACCTACGAGTGATTGACTAACTGAAACTCGAAGCGTGTTCTCTGGTTAGCAATGGTTTACTAACTTTTTATAAATGCAGTTTACTTTTCCTTCAAAACCAGTCAAAACACAATTGCACAAATACCGTGCGGGACCGAAATCCGTACAGCACCGAAATCCGTACACCCTGTTGAATTTGTTTATTTATATGCATCATAACAATGTAAATATTATACATGAATACATATTCATGTTCATTCATGCATTAGCTTAATGTTTACGTCAACAATTAAGCAGAATGTCATACAATTAAAATAAGAAAAATAAAAACCTTAACACGTGTCGGGCATTTCTGTCAATCGGTTGCGTTCTTAACGATTTTCTAAGAAAATCTCTCGGATTTACTTCAGTTTGTTAAGCGTATTTTAGTGATGTTTGCAAGTAGTTTCCTGAAGGTCGATCGAAAAGGTTAGTGTTTATCGTTTTATATCTCAATTCTAAGCAATGGATCGTTCATATGGTATTTATTTATCAAAATTAGTACTGTACGGATTTCGATCCATATATAACAGCTGATTCTAAATCCGTACACTTGTGCATCACTAATGACGATTCTACTTTATCCAATGTTTTTCAGCAGATCATGGAAACTAAATACACGCCGGAGGATTTGGAGAAGACTATGGCAATGATGCGTGCGGAGAAATCTTACCAAGAAGCATCCAGGGATTTTGCCGTTCAATTCACCACCATAAGAGATGCCGTATTGAATCGCTACTCTCTTATTTTATTCGTATTGTAAACGTTATATTATTAATATCTTTTAATGAAGAGCGTCAAGAACCAGCCAAAAAGTAAAACAACGCAGCTCCCCTACAGGATATCACCAACACGCATATACAAATTAGGGACCATGCATAAATGACGTAGCATTTGAGGGGGGAGGTGAGGGTTTCAGAATTTGTGACCGGCCATGTATTGGATATAGCCAAATACGCTACGAGGGGGTGGGGGGGAGGAGTATAAAATTGATCAAAAATATGCTACGTCATCTTTGGATGCTCCCTTACAGAGAGCAGACAGAAATGGGCCAGAGAGCATTCCCAGCTACCAGCGAGGAATGACCGGAAATACACATGAAAGTAGTGCGGGCGAAAATTGATAAAGAGAACGCAAAGAAACAAAGGATTGAAGAACGACAAAAGAAAAAGGTTGAGCGAGAGAGGAAGAGGAGGAAGAAAAGGAAGAAGAGCAAAGAAAGTTCCCTAATAAACGAATACCATGAACGAACTTTATCCCGGATGGGTAAACTTTCCCACAAATGGTTTGGATGATACCCCGAACACGTCGTTAAGCTCTCTATTATGGTTATTTTTATTAGGGCATTATAACTTGAAAAGGCAATGGTAACAATGGAGAAGAAGCAGAAGAAAGCTGTGGAAAAGAAGCAATGAAAGATCTGTATTTTTATGATTATTACTCTTTTGACGTATTAAATTAAATTAAGTTAAAGTCGTTATTTTACCAATTTTAATTTTCATGCACAAAACGAAAAACTAATCCTTGATGTCAGTTCATTGTCTTTTTTTGTTGGTTTTTAAGATGGTTGTATTTTTATTTTACTTATTTACCATCTACCATCTTAGGAACCGGTTAATTTATCGCTTGATGCCAGTGGGTTGGTGGAGTTTCAAAGTATGGCGCATCTTGCACGTTATCACATGTAAATTTCAAAAACCTCGAAGTTGTGATCGGAGGAAAACTCCAGTAAGAATGTTTAACCCAAAGCACTGGTATAGAATAAAATTTGGAAGAAATTAATCCTTAAACATGATATTAGTTAGCATAAAAATCCAGAACAGTTACCTTCTTAAATAAAAAGAATTCAGTTACCTCTGTTACCTTTGAATCGATTGGAGCATCAATTAATCTAACGCTGATATCATTAGTTAAAAAAGTAAAAGTAAAATAAATGAACTTGAACCTTTGACGAATGATTCTTATGTAAAATCGTGCACTAAATTCAACAATGTAGTCGAAAAAAATGTCAGTAGGATAGTTTTTGAGATACAGCTAAAAATTAAAATTCACTTTAAACAAGTTTGATTACTATAATTCAAATATCTCCGGTTGTAATGAGATTATATCAATTATTTTAACGCTAAATTAGAGGTAAGACATTTTTTCGTTCGATCAATTGTCAGTGAGATTGATGGTATTGTTGTTAGTTAATAGTTTGTTTTTTAAGTTTTCCTAAGAAAAATTGAATTTCTGCTAAGTTTTTAAGCAATGTAAATTAAAATGTTTATGGTGGTTCTACCATTACTCTCACGGAAAAATAGTGTTATAACGATCGAAATAAAATTTTATCACGTTTAATTTGGCGTTAAAATAATTAATATCACTTCATTGCAGCCAGAGATATTTGTGTTTTAGTTTTATTTAACGTGAGATTTCATTTTTTAGCTAGGGGAAGGAGGGGCATAGTGAACAGGTGGGGCATAGTGAGCATCCCGTACTTTGGCTCTGGATCTCCAACTGCATGAAACAAATCAACTGGTAGTAGGATCAATATCATTAAGATATTGATCCTACAGCCAACAAATTTGTTCTGAACGGCCGGAAGTCCAAGCTGGAGCACGCGCGATGCTCACTATGCCCCACCTGTTCACTATGCCTCTCTTACCCCTATATCTCCAAAACTATCCTACCGATGGACTACATTTTTGGATTCAGCGCACGATTTTACATGGGAAATGACCATCAGCGTACAAAGTTCAAATATGCTGTAAACTAGTGTATTTAAACGAATATAGCTGTTTTGGACTCTTAGCCAAGCAACTACAAAAAAATACTTTATTCAAGATAGCAACACGTTTTTTTTTCATTGATTTCGATCGATTTACATTCATGTACGGATTTTGATTCATGACTGTACGGATTTTGATTCATCCTCAACACAGTGTACGGATTTCGATTCAAAACTGTACGGATTTTGATTCAATCGTAAAACGCTGTACGGATTTTGATTCAAGATATGTGCAATTTAAATCCTTTTTTCTAATAATTAAAGGTAATTTTAAGACCTGGTGTTTGCAAATATTGGAAAAATAAAGATAAATGTAAAGGAAAAAGATGTGATACAGAGCATAATGTGATAGCATTATTTAGTATTGACCGTTAATGATTCTCTCGTGCTTGGGTGTACGGATTTCGGTCCCGCACGGTATACGTTGGGAAACAATTGGGAGGGTAGTCTAACGTCGACCATGTTGCACGTGTGAGCATGCGCATTTTTACGCGCCACATTTCCTTAGCAACACTAACCCACCATTTGTTGTGTCCATGAGTTGTAAAGTACGAATTCATTAGTTTGCTTTCATAGCTCAAATCTGTAGTTCATATTATTCCAGAGAACATTGTGAAATTAATTCAAACAAAAATGTTCCGGCATGAGTATGGCCTCGCCATGGATCGAGACCAAAATAGCGCCTCGTATGTGTCCTCCTTCCAGGCCGATGATCTGATGGAAAAGCTGAAACTATTAAACTACGAGCGACTTCTACTCAAGGAAATGAAAATGAAGCAAATCAATCGATACTATTTCCTTAAATCCTTCAATCCGGGCGAACAATTCTTCATGTTTACCTCCATCTGTGCCTGGCTTATTCGGAAAATTGGCAAAACTTTCGATCAACCGCAGGAATTTGATGACCCCAACATGGTTATTTCTAGGATTATACGAGTGCTGCAAGAAATGGTAAGGCGCAGACATATATTTCAATATTCTTTCATGAAACATACATTTCGCAGGACGTTCCCACAGACTTTCAAACGAACAAACTCATTCAAGGAGCCGGACCGATTTGCATCTACATCATGGACTGCCTGGCGACACAGGCCTTGAAGTTAACAAAATTTCAAATCAAGCGACCCGAATGCCGAAAAGAGGATGATCCTATGGTGGATCTGATCGAAAACGATTCGGAGATAATCTTGGAAAAAATGGAAGAAGAACAAATGGTAGAAGGAACCGACGAGAGCGATGACGAGGGAAATGGATTGTTCGATTTGAATTATTCCGACCAGAAGAACAAGAAAATAACCAACAAAGAGTACAAGGTCGACTCGTTGACGGATAGTGAAAATTGGCGATTGGAGTTGGAGCGAGTTCTACCCCAGCTGAAAGTGGTGGTCAAAACTGATCCCCGGGATTGGAGAGCGCACCTGGAGCAGATGAGAAGCCTTCGATCGAACATCGAAAGTGCCACCGAGGAAACGGACAGTCAATTGAAGAAGCTGCAGACGGACATCAGCTACGTTATGGAAAAAATAGAAAGTCGCGAAAAGCACTTGAACAACGATTTGAAGGAGTTAGTTAGGCAGTACAAAGAGATTTTAGTGGAATACAATCAGGTTAATAATCAAATCAAGAGAAGTGATGGTGAGAAAACTGAGAAAGAGCATGAACTTTCAAAAATTACAAACGAGTTGGAGAACATAAAGATTCAGATGGAACAACGAGGAAACTCGATGACGGATGGAAGTGAGATGTGCTTTTGTTATTTGCGGAGAGTGTTCGATTTAAATCTATATATATTTTTTGCAGGTCCCTTGATTAACATCAAGAAAGCCATATTCAGAATCAAGGAAGAAATCTCCGACATGGATATAAAGATTGGCGTTATGGAACACACGTTGAATTCGGAAATTATCAAACAAAGCGCTCAATATGCAGAATTTGATTCGTTTGTTATGGCTGCTCATTAGAGGTTGAAATTAGTAATAAAAAAAACATAGATAAAGTTCGCGAGTGGTTCTGCTTGCGGACAAAATAAAAATAAATGCCTAAAATAATCCAAACTGAGTTAGACATTTAACCAGTGGTTTCGTTAACGTTTCCGTTAAATATGAGAACCGTTAACGAATTGATTAACGATCGCTAAATTGTGCTTCATTAAATCATTAGTTGATTTTATGAGAATTTATTGGAGGGATTTATGGCTAAAATGTTCTGATGACCGATTTCGAAATTTCTCTAAAAATGTGTGCAAAATAGGGCACCTCAATTTTGTTCTGATCTTTTAGCGTTCTGAAGGAGGTCCTACCTTAATATATTAAAAATTATAATATCATAGATATATGATAATATGATAGATCAGCATGACATAAGAGTTAAAATATCAAGAAATAAGATACTGTTTAAATATCAAACGTAGAAATTACGGTATCAAATCCATAGTACATTGCAATTGATATGATATAGTAATTGCTTAGTTTTACGATATTATTTTATGATGTTTTACCTCTTATGCCATGCTCATACATATCGTTTTCTGGTATCACGTTCATAATTTTATGACTGAGATATTTTCTTCTACTCGGGTACTTACTTAGTATATAAAATTTTTCAAATCACTGAAAATACGCCGCTAAATGGGAAGGTAAGGTAAACTAATTGAAAACAGAACATTTAATTTAAAATCAAGTCAACCATTCAAACAAAGATGAAAAACCCATTAGGCAAATCAACTACAATGTGAGATCAATGTTAAAAAGCATAGTCAATGGAAATAAACGTATTGTTACTACTACTTCTACTCAATCGATAAATAGTAGATGTACTGCAAATTTATTCGAAGCGTTTTCCCACAAAAGTTTTGGTCCTTGGTTGACTTCCTAGCGTTGGGTGTGATAACTTGGTATGTCTGGCAGCAGTGAGGTGGATGGACGTTATAAACAATTTTAAATTCACCCATTTAAAAAAAAAATGTGATGGCCTTGACAAGGGCCGCTTGGTTTAGATACAGTGTAAGTGTAGAAGGCTGATAATACGAGCAACGCTGGAGGTACTTTAAGATTATACACACTTAGTTTGGTGCACAGTATCGAGTTGTTCTTTGTCGTGATTAGGGAATACTTAGATCTATAGGCGCTTTCTCCACGGATAGGTGAGCGAGTTTGATATTCTTCGCCATGATGATGACACGCTTGGGGAAGCTGGCCCCCAGTGATGTTTCTCATGATGAGCAACTGTACCCGACCAGTGGCGGTATGGCTTCTTCACTTCTTCTTTGGCTGGAGCGCGCGCGCCTTTTTCTGGTCTGAAAATCATCTGCGTTCAGCTGCTTCGAGATGAACGTTATGAACACGTCCGAAGTTCGAACGTAAATGCGCCTTCGGCTTTTTTTTTCGTACTTTGTAATGTCTCTGTTAGGAAAGACTGAAACTGACTTACGGTCCACGTTTCATTGAGAACCCTATTCAGATGTATATAATTCAGTTTCTACACCTTCGAAGCAGGCAACATGTATTACAGTGTACGAATCAGTAAATAATGATGATGGGTGTTAAAAGAAGGTGTAAAAGACAATCATCGAAAAGGTTTGTTTTTCTTTGGTCAGGGCAAACAGAAATATTAATCTGAATTTGAACACCAAGAACTGAAAAACGGGACTAAAGTGGAAAGTTGAAGGTATTGGGCTTCTCTGATCGGAAAAAATATCGTTTCGATCTTTTCCTTTCCATATCAGTTTAACCTATAAAAGAAGATTTATTTTGTGAATCAGCAGCTAATGTAATCTAAAGTGAATTTAAAGCCAAATATTTAAAATCGAATATTTAAAAGTTGAATCTTTAAAACAGGTGAAAGTCAATTAATTGATTTTAAAATATTTCCACAACCTATTAAACGAAACTGTAGAACGTAAGCACATGTTTTGGAAAAATAAAAGCGAGAATATTTAAAGAAAATTTTATTTCGAATATTTAGGGGAACAAAAACTGATAATATTTTTAGTGAGAGTAGGAGTAAAAAGTCTCCGTGAGGTAATTTGGTGGAAATTATCAGGGGTGTCGGTGCTAACGTAACTTCATTCACAGTTGGCACCCGTAACCACGCAATTCGTTGAGAGAACTTGAGGAGATTTTCATTCGAGGGCTGGCGAGAACTAACCTCGAATAGCACTCGGTTAGCGAAGTGCTACGGATCAGACTAAGAGCTATCCCTTGGAGGTATCCTTCGTCTCACAGTTGCATTTCGTTAAGCATACCACCAGAGAGCGTGGTCATCGAATTGAACTTCGTCCTCGCAAGCAAGGTTTGTTGGGAGAAAGGCCACCACAGCCAGTGGAATCGCCTAGGCTCACGTCCTGTAAAATAAATTTTCAATACCAGTCTAGATCAACTCCCAAGCTCCTCTCTGTGGGCGCCGGTAGAAATTCGGATGATACGACCACCCTACTCTCTGCAAGGTGGAAAACCGAACAGGATTTTCGGGAAAATGCATCGCAGCGTTGCAAAGCATCGTCAATCTACGTCATTGTTCGTCGGATTACGCTCCGGGCGATTCAACGGCTTGACGGAGAGTCCGTCCTGGGTAACTCAGACCCGAAGCCTGCTGTAGCGGAGCGGTACACGAGCGTCGCATACCTCCGTCATCGCATCGGTGCTCATCGTTCGTCGGATTACGATCCCGACAACTCAACGAGAGAATGAGAAGTCAGGTCGTTGTCGTAGGCCAGCGAAGATCGCTGCGGGTGACCGACTCATTCACTCTGACTCCTTAGACAGGAGAAAAGGTATAAGGAGAAGAGGCAGGAATAAACCTCGAAAATTTTCAAACTGGAAATCAAAATCAAACAGTTTTTTTTTCAATTTTTCAAATATCAAGCTGAACATTGCATTAGGTCCTAAGTAGCATTGACAGATTCTCTTCTTTAAATTTCTCTTTGTATCTCCACATCCAGACTTTCCAAGGTATTTTCAGCACACAGATCGATAAAAGAAGCATTTATTTAGCATCTAATAAGACAATCACATCAAGAAACGGTTATGTGCTCAAGTTATTACCGAAAGAGAAAGGCGACGAAGAGAATCGATCAATGTTACTTAGGACCTAATGCAATATTCAGCTTGATATGCTTGCGCAACTGCCTACACTGATAAAATTTCAAAGATTGTTTTTATTTGTCCCACACATGATTTTTTGCAATGTGATCAACAAATGATATCTATGTGTCGGACACATACTTAATATGTGTACACATAAAAGCCATGTGTAACCACACATACTATTCATTTGACTCATAAATTTCATGTGCGCTTCTGAGTGGATTCTGTTTATGTATGTCACATGAAAATCATGTGGAATTTCACATGGAAATTCGTCAATAAAAATGTGTGGAATTTTATTAGTGTAGTCATACATTTTTATTGGTTATCAATTAATAAGGTTTCTGATTCATAAATTTTAATCCAGTAATTATTTCAAGGAATTTGGGTAATCAAATGTCTAGGACAGGAAGAAATATATTTAGGGCTATTAAATGTTGGGGCTTGGGCAAGTATTTGGTAGTTGGGAGCGAAATAGTAGGAAGATTCTGCTGGGCTATTACAAATCCCTCGCTGGGTAAATACATCCGGAATGCTTGGGAGATGACTTCGTCATCTGGCGTCAAAACCGAGTTTTTAAGGATCCCAGCAAGATCCTCCTCACAAGACACCTTGTGGTCAAAGCAAATGTATGGGAAATTTTGATGCTTCAAATTTTCGTTAAATTTCTTAGCTACTATTTCTACTATATGCCAAAACATTGTTCAATAAATTCCCCGTCAAATGGCATATTGCATGACATATTTCACATTAATGTTTTGGAGAAATATGCGTTTGAAAACTCCCCCATTTTCGTTACATGCCTCATTTTTGAGTTCTTAATGTGGCCCCCAGTATAGTAAAAGTCCTACGTCAAAAACGATGTTACATTATTTAATTTTCAATACAAAAAACCGAAGAACACCGTCCCTCTTCCAAAAATCTCAAAACAAACAAAATATACTTTAACCGGGACTTTAACTTATCATGTTTGTATGCGTGAAGTTAACGATTTACATATTTTGAGATGCTTAACGTCAAATATCAGACTTCAAGTGATCATTTGATACGACAGATGAAGAGATGAAAGTATAGAGTTGATAGTTCAGTTAGAGTACGGTAGTGCGAAAATTGTATGTATATACTCTATAGAGAGTAGAAACCGAGCAAAGGTCAATTTTGAGGAATGTATGCCCGTAATAAAAGGACCATAGAGATGCAATGAAATGTATTGTAACCATACAATAGAATTTATTGTATTCACAATAAATCGTACTGTCTGCAACAATAAAATGACCTTAGAATTTATTATTTCCACAATAGAATCTATGGTAAATGGGGAAATCTACAAGAGAACAAGGGGGTTGTTAAGTATCTTAACCATACGAAAAATCACTTTTTCCCGAACAGACTTTAGCCATTAACCGTTAATTGTAATGTTGTTCTATTGTTGAAAATCCTTACAATATGCGACGTATTGTACATCTATTATAATATTTAACAATATGTTAAAATTTCTTGTATAATATACGTAAAATAAGATAGATTGTTGACAATAGATTGCGTTGTAACTGTATTTAATTTTATAGTAATTGTATGGTTATTTTTTTTCCGGGTGAATCGGGTTGATCATCTCCTTTACCAAACTCCCCCGTTGGGGAGGGATGGTGAGGGGTATTTCTCTCTGCCACCACTGGCAAAAGAGATGATCGACGATTTGCTCACGTACCTTCGATGTGCGGAAACAGTTCTATCGATTGTTTCACACTCAAGTCGCCATCTGACGTAAGCTTCTAGTCGATAGATTTGGAAATTGCAGCTATTGTTGCCTCTACCGCTGTCGATAGAGCTGTTTCCGCACATCGAAAGTACGTACACAAATCGTCGATAATCTCGTT